ATGGTTTCGGTTACAATAACACCGTACTTAAATAACCTTCCTTTTAAGTGGCTAATCACGTTCAAGTTATATTGGCAAGCCAGGTGAACATTATTAAGCCTGTCTCGTCAATTGCTCAGCGACTTTGGTGCTAAACCTAACACGCCTCTCTATGTATTCTTTCTTTCTTTCTTTCTTTCTTTCTTTTCTTTCTTTCACTTTTGTTTGTTTGTTTGTTTCTTTCTTTCTTTCGACCACTTTTTCTTTCTTTCTTTCTTTCTTTTGACCAGTTTTTCTTTCTTTCTTTCTTTCTTTCTTTCTTTCGACCACTTTTTCTTTCTTTTCTTTCTTTCTTTCGACCACTTTTTTTTCTTCCTTTCTTTCTTTCTTTCTTTCTTTCTTTCTTTCTTTCTTTCTTTCAAACACTTTTGTTTATTTGTTTGTTTATTTATGTGTTTGTTTGTTTGTTTCTTTTCTTTCTTTCTTCCAAAGACTTCTTTCTTTCTTGCTCGTTGTTTTCTTTCTTTCTTTCAAAGATTTTTCTTTTTTTTTCGCTCATTTGTTTTTGTTTTCTTTTTCGATTGATTTCTTTTGGTTTTGCAGCTCCATTATTCGTTCTTTCTTTCTTTCTTTCTTTCTTTCTTTCTTTCTTTCTTTCTCTTTTGATCTCCAAAATTTTTCTGTTTCATTACCTAGTGTATGTCATCTATCTATCTATCTATCTATCTATCTATCTATCTATCTATCTATCTATCTATCTAAGAGTCAAATATTGTGAGATTGTAGGGAGCTGTGATTGTCCGCGCCCTGAAGGCTCAGACACATGATGATTATCTTTGCACACGCACATTTCCACCCACACACATGTAGTTTTCTCGTGTATTTACGTGCATCCCACTGTGGATCTATCTATCTATATCTATCTATCTATCTATCTATCTATCTATCTATCTATCTATCTATCTATCTCATTCTGTTCATTATCTACCTCAGTCTGTTCAAATCTATCTTCAGTTCTATCTATCTATCTATCTATCTATCTATCTATCTATCTATCTATCTATCTATCTAAGTAAATAATCTATAAAGACGAGAATTGAAAGTAAGGAGGCCATTAATTAATCGAAAAACAATTGCAAACTATTAGGTGATATATTGGACGGTTGGTGTTGGGAGATATTACAAATAATCAAATACGGTAATTTTCCATCTATCCCGCTTTGTACACTATCTATCTATCTATCTATCTATCTATCTATCTATCTATCTATCTATCTATCTATCTATCTCTGTGCCTTCATTTTCTTTCTATCTATCTATCTATCTATCTATCTATCTATCTATCTATCTATCTATCTATCTATCTATCTATCTATCTATGTGCCTTCATTATCTATCTATCTATCTATCTATCTATCTATCTATCTATCTATGTAATACCTCTCTTCTTTATCCTAGGCTTTCTTCGCTCCCTATTTTCTTCCTTACTTCATTCGCTTCCGTCCGTTTTTTTTTCTTTTTAAATAAATCATGTTGCATTCTATAGAAATAAGCATTTTAATTAATCATTCGCAATTTTCCGTTTCTGTTTATTTCTTTCTACAGGAGCCTCACCTCAAAAAAAAAAAAAAAAAAGCAAGAAATTTTACTAGATTTACTATATAATGAAAAAAATTAACATATAAAAAAATGAACTATATATTTTACTATATGAGTGAACTAAAAAAAAAATAACTAACATATAAATTTTTTAACCATTTCATTGTTCCAGAATGTTGCAGTTATCAACTTTTCAACGCGAGATCAAGGAAAGGACGTTCAAATTGGGGAGTGAAAAGATGCCATGAAATTTTGTCAGAGTTCTTTAGTTTGCGGGTCGAATGTTAACTGATTGGTGAGGTGGTCGTTGCATGACGTGAACGAGCCAATGAACACTACGATACAGAGGAGTTTGGCTGAACGGTCCTCCAGCGGGGGTTCGCCTTAGACACGAGATCGGACTAGTACACCCCTTAGACACAAGATCGAACTAGTGCAATCCAGCACCCTCGGGACCATATTGGTCCCGAGGGCGCTGGACTCGAACCCTAGACGCAAGAAATTTTGCCAGAGTTCTTTACTTTGAACACCACATCTAACATTTGTGTTTTTGTTCTGTTTTAAGCGACTAAATTTCTATCCTTTGATTTTGTTTCAACTAACTGTAACAAAAATTCCCACAATTAAATAAACTGTATCAAATTTTCTGTTTTTTTTTTTTTTTTTTTTTTTTTTTTTTGGGACACCCTATACAATTAACTGCAAGCAATAACGGGTAACTCCACACTGTTCCATATAAACGGAAATTTCTATGTTTCAAAACTAAATTTGTAAATTTAATTATAAAAATTAAATTTAAAATCCAGAGTTCTTTTCCATTGTCAAGCGATGATAGGAATAACTTTCTACGATATTTACGTAATTTATAAGCGCAGACAATTTTAATATTTTGAGTTGTTATGGTTAAGTAAAATTCAATCTATTTTGATTAGGGGTGGTTGGGTTTTAATTTTTCTAGACAACTTACGTATCCAATATATGTTACTTACAAAGGTTAAGTATAGGTAGGGTGGGATGCCTGCTCATAAACATAGACACCCGTTATTCAGTGTATCGTCTGTGTTCTCAAAATTTAAAAAATTTGGCATTTTTATTTATCCGATTCATTCATATTTTTATGCACAAAGATTTTCTAAAAGTGTCATTTAAAAATGAGTAAGTCATACTTTTAATATTTAAATTTTATTCCTAAAGATTTAAAGTACCATTCCTCCTTCTAATAACTAATAGACTATACAGTATTTTTACAAATAAATATATTAGAATTTAATAACTAATTAATGATCAAGTATAAATATACATATTTTATCTCGATTTTTTGTTTTTCCAAAATTAATTATTATTTAAGGAAATATTTGACACTATCTACAAAAAATAGCTCTTACAATTTTTTGATTTAGTAGATTTTTATTTTTAAGAAAATTAATAATGTATAACGTTTCATGTATGCACAAAGGACATGGGTCATTTAATGAACGACAATCTCAAGCTTTTCTTAATAATTTCCATTTTACCGTTGGTGATTTATTGGGTTTTTTTCTCTCGTACTTTTCTCTGGAAATTAGCTATTTTCTGTTCATTTCTTTTTAGACTTCTTTGAAAATACATTTTTTTTACTAAAATAATTATCCAATACAAGGACCAAGAGCCGTTCAAGGTAGAGGATTATTGAATGAGGTCATTGCATTGTAAGAGGCGGGAGTAAATACATCTTAGAAGGATATGTAGGATAGATAAGGGTTGACCCTAGATTTGAAAAGTTGAAGATTGCAGTTTTCATGGATTAAATGATATGTTTTTTTTTTATGGTCTATCGATCTTTTGTAGCATAATAATTTTCAGATCGTAAGAATTTTTTGGAGATAAAAATGATTTACTGATGCAATTCTTACTAATTAACCCATAGCTGGGGTACAAGAAGTGGATTCATACAATCTCCAAGGGTATTTGCGCGTAAGTGAATATAACGAACCCAACTGGAATTCGAACTCTGCTCAACGATTCAGAGTCATTATCCATTACACCACCCAGACATCCGATCTTACAGCACCTGGTATTCCCAAACATCTGGGTACTGTCTAGGCTCGACGTTGCTTAACTTTGGTGATTGTACGGAGACGGGTGTTTCAACGTGATATGGCCGTAAGCCGAAAAAGGGAATTGTCGGTAGAGAAGATGATGTCGATAAGGAGGATGAGGAGTTAGAATGCAATAAATAGGAGAAAGCTGGACTAAGTTTTTAGTCTAGTATTATAAACAGTACAATTATAGGTCATTTCTTCTTTTAGGGGTCGTGTATCATGGGTCTCCGCAACTTCCGCTCTTCCCTTGCTCGAAGCAATGTCTCTTTACTATCCATTTTTATAGTCCAATAGTCGATCTGTACACTAAATGCACGTATTCACAATACGGTTTAAGATCTTCTTCTCTTTAGGACATAGGTGATCATGGGTCTCCACAACTTCCGGTCATCCCTTGCACGAAGTAATGTCTCTTTGCTATACACTTTAATAGTCTAATTGTCGACCTGTACACTAAATGCACGTATTCACAATACGGTCAAAATCTTCTTCTCTTTAGGACATAGGTGATCATGGGTCTCCACAACTTCCGGTCATCCCTTGCACGAAGTAATGTCTCTTTGCTATACACTTTAATAGTCTAATTGTCGACCTGTACACTAAATGCACGTATTCACAATACGGTTAAAATCTTCTTCTCTTCAGGACATAGGTGATCATGGGTCTCCACAACTTCCTGTTCTTTGTAGCTCTTAGTAAAATTTTATTTATTTATTTTGCTATCTCTCCCAATCCCTGTTCTGATAAACCATTTGCACAAGTTCGTTAGGTAAGTTATATAATAGCTGCATCTATTGCAAGGAAAATTGGGTATTGCGATAGAAGATTTTTCTCCTCAGAATCTATCGTGCACATTTGTTACGGCATATCGACCTTTTGTAACGTATTTCAAGCCTGTAAATAATTTTCAGATTGTAAGGATTTTTTGGAGATAAAAATGATTTACTGATACAAGTCCAGTTAGTTAATCCGTAGCTGGGGGAAGATGTGGGCTCATACCTTTTCCAAGTGTATTTGCGAGTAAGTGAATATAACGAACCCAACTGGAATTGGAACTCTGCTCTCCGTTCTCCAGTTCTGAGTCGTTATCCATAACACCAGCTGCACGCCCAAGCTTAAAGCATCTGGTATTTTCAAGCGGTCACCCATCTAGGTACTGACTTAGCACAATGTTGCTTAACATTGTTGATAGTTTGAGAATCGGTGTTTCATTGGTTGTAGTAACATCCTGTCGGAATCTCTTCTACAAAGTAATAGTTATTGCGAAAATGTTGCAAAAATGGTACTTCCTTTCACCAATGGAATAAGAGAAGAATGAGAAGGATTCGATCTCTTGAACGTGGCACTGGGAGTCCGAATGGTAAAAGTCGGAACTGATAGAAGTAAGAAATCTATTTAGTCTGGAAATTTGTCATAGAAATAGGAATCAGAAACTTAGAAATAATTTGTTGCACACAAGGCGCCCATATTTGAATATAAATACATCATTTTCCTAACCTACCTTCTTTGCTTTTCATAATTTTGTGTTCATTATTTCTACTGTTAAGACCTAATTCTGTGCTATATAAACATATATCTTTCTCTTTTATTTCCCGTATTATTCTTTGTCATCATCAGCCCTGTTCATTTCTTTCTACACTTCTCTGCAGGAGAGTATAAACATATATATATATATTTCTTTTAATTTCCCTCCCTACGTATTTTATTGTTCAGGTTTTTGCGTTATTTCTTGGCCCTAACAACAATTAACTGCCGATTCCTTTCTATATAAAAATATATTTTCTTTTATTTCCTGTACTTTTCTCTGCCATCATTTTTTCCATTCCTTTGGTTATGTACTTCTTTACAACAAACTCTATTCTCTATTATATATATATATATATATATATATATATATATATATATATATATATATATATAAACATATTTTGTCAAATTTTCTCTTTCGAGGTCTTCTATTGTCCCTACTTTTGCATTCATTATTTATTAGCTTAAAACTACAATTACAGTTACATGCTTCTTCTGCATAAACATATATTTTTTCTCTTTTATTTCACGTACTTTTCTCTGTCATCGTCAAAATTTTTCTCTTCCTTTCCTTCTATATTTCTCTGCACTCAACTCCACTTTCTCTTATGTATAAACACATATTTTTCTCTTTTGTTTCTCGTTCTTTTATTTCTGTCATCATCTATACGTTTTTATTAGTTTTTCTATATTATTTAAAACCGTTTCCATACACTATCTATCTATCTATCTATCTATCTATATATATATATATATATATATATATATATATATATATATATCTCTTTTATTTCTCGTACTTTTTTCTCTATCATCATATAAACGTTTCTATTGCTTTCTTTCTATGTTTCTCGACAATCAATTCTATTATCTTTTATATATAAACATATATTTTCTCTTTTATTTCTTGTACTTTCCTTTCTGTCACCACCTACATTTTTCTATTCTTTTCATTCTATATTTCACTACAACCAGCCGCTTTCTGTTTTATATATAAACATATAGTTTTCTCTTTTATTTCTTGTACTTTCCTTTCTGCTACATCTATATTTTTCTATTCTTTTCTTTCTAAATTTTACCACAACCAACCTCTTTCTGTTTTATATATAAACATATATTTTATCTTTTATTTCTTGTACTTTCCTTTCTGTCACATCTATATTTTCCTATTCTTTTCTTTCTAAATTTTACCACAAACAGACCATTTCTGTTTTTATATAAACATATATT